CAAAACACTAAATGACATCTAGTGCCTTTCTTTGTTGTTGTTCTTTCTAATAATGCATTAGAGGAGTTACTTATGCCATCTTTCCTCCAGGTGGGCCAAACTTAGTTTCTGCTGCTGTTTACTTGCTTTCTCTGAACTGAGATGCTTAGAATATCCTCTTGGCATTTCTAACTGAGCATTTTTACCTTACCTGACCCTATCCGAACAGTCTCCATTTTCTTTCTTGTCTGGTGACTAAAAGATACCACATATAATAGCTATACTCACATGGTGCCTACCTTGGTGTGAATCTGCCAGGGGCTTCTAATTAGAGTCATTGTATCTTAACTTTCTTTGAAAATACTTCTCAGGTACATAAGGCCCCTTTTCAGTCTTGGTAAGGAGAGCAGTCATACAACAAGGTCTCATTCAGTCGTGTGTGTGTGTGTGTGTGTGTGTGTGTGTGTGTGTGTGTGCTGTCATCAACATAGTTGTTAATAAATATGTTTATGTAGCAGATCGTATTTCTTGTGGATATATAGCAAGTAGTGACATGGAGCTAAGGAACGTCAGTTACCTACTTTCATTGAGTTGATTTTGATTCATAGCAACTCAATAGAACAGAAGCTACACATATTTACAGGAATAGATAGAGAGAAAGATAGATAACAGATATAAAAATAAGTATGTCTTGATAGTAATAATAAACACTTACGCTATTGACTTAATACACATACTGTGTTGTAATTCTAGCTTTCTCTTTTAGTTTATTTTTAATGGTTATTTTAATATAAGTTTCAAAAAAGGTTGCATTTTCATTCATTCATTCATTCATTCATTCATTGTTGCATGTTTTTCTCCCTCCGCCTTCCTTCCCTCTCCCCTATTCCACTTTGGGGTGCACCTCTTGTTCCAGACTGTTGCCATACGTATAATGCCTAATCATATATTTCTTTCAGATAGTTCTTCCCCTCATCTGTTCCACTGCAATGTTCATTATCCACAATAGTGGTGTTACAAAGTATTTGTTCTTTTGTGACTAAGGTATTTCATTTACTATACTGTCTTCCAGGTTCCCCCATGCCCTGTAATGTTCTGTGAGTCCATTATTTCTTCAGTGTTGTGTAATACTCCATTGTGTGAATGTACCATAGTTTTTTCTCTGGGCACTTGGACTGCTTTCATTTCTTTATTACTTCTAGCTTTTTTTAAAAAAAAAATGGGGTTTTTTTGTTTGCCTATAAGCATTCATAAACATCACACTTTGTACATGTAGTTTGTGTTTTATACAATTTATCTTACATAATTAATTGCCATTGCTCTAGTCTTTTTGTCATTCCACCTTTTCAAGCCCCCGTAGAACTTTTCCCATTACTTCACCCACTTCCACCCACTAACTTCTGCTCACCCAGTGATTTTCCCCTTCCCCTTTTTCTCTTTCTTTTCTCTCCCTCCCCTTCTGAACTTTTATACATATCTTATTCACTTATTCTCCTATTTTCACAATAGTGGCCTTATTCAGTATTTGTTCTTGTGTGACAGAGATTGTACTTCTGTTATGTCTTGACAGTCATAACTTTTTAATTATCAGCAAAGTGCTTATCCACTGTGCCCTCTGGACTCTTCAAAGGTCATAATGAGGTATGCAATTATAATGAAGAAGGGGAATTTTTCTTTTGGCATTGGAGTTAAATTACTGGCTGCTAACTGGAGAGTTTGGGGTTTGAATCTGTCAAGAGGCACCTTGGAAGAAAGCCCTGGAAATCTACTTCTTAAAGAATATATCCCTGAGAAATACTGTGGAACAATTTTACAGTGACACACATGGGGTGACCATGAGCTAGAATTGACTTGAGGAAACTTATTCGTGGCTCTTTCTCCTTTCATGTTGGCAGCAGCATAAGTAGCCAATTATAACTAACTTGTACCCACTCTGCACTTCCCTTACGCGCCAATACTTACTATTTCCATGGGTGTTAACCTGGGCTTATCCTCACCTGTGAATTTGTCTCTCCTCTTTGGTTTTATTTTGGGGGAGGAGGAAGAAAATCACAGTACAAAGAAATTTCGAGGTCTGGTTCAGATTCCTGTCTAGTAAAATGAAGATAACATTTTAAAAGCTAAAACCCCTGTGTCTGTTTAATCATTCCTGATTGCCACCCTGAGACTGGGTTTCAATGTTTCTGAATATACAGTACCTGGAAGCTAGGACTAAATGTCTATCTCAAACTGCCAGAAATTTGCTTCATGTGACTCAGGACATGAAAACAAAAATGTGACTTTGGGGCATCTCTTCTCACGATTGTTAGGGATAAATGCTTTGATGGGTCATCTCAGTCGTGGTCGCTTGAGCTGAGTTACTAGACCCTGTTCTTGTGGTAGTTCAGGACTTTGGAGAAATAATCCAAAAGCAGATACTTTATAATGGATTAGTAAGTGTTCTGTTTAATAATAGAAAAGACTGTCTCAAGCGGCAGGGAGTATGTCTCCAGATTTTCTTCTTTCTATTTAATGCAGTCCTGACAGTTTGGTAATAGAGTGAGCCTGGCAATTGGAGCCTGGTGTAGGAGAGAAAAGAGTTGAGAGAAAGAGCTATGGCTGGGTAGTAGGCAGAATCATGATAGATGGTGAAGAGATTGAGATTGTTGGCAGCTTCAATATACTTGGTTTTACAATCAACACTCTTGGTACCAGCAGCCAAGAAATTAAAAGACTAATTGCATTGGGAAAGTCTGCTGTCAGAGGCCTCTCCAAAGTACTGAAGAGCAACGATGTCAGTCTGGAGACTAAGGTGTGCCTGATCCAGGCCATGGTCTTTGCAATTAATTGCTATGCTTCAGAGAGCTGGACAGTGACTAGGGATGTTAGAAGGAGAATTGATGCCTTTGAGCTGTGGTGCTGGAGAAGAATATTGAATATACCATGGACTGCTCGGAATGACAAACCAAAATACTACAATGAAATGTGCGAGGAGCTAGAGTCGGAAAATCAAAAGGGCCGAACTCGCTCAGCATTTCTTAAGCTCAGGGAACTGAAGAACAGATTCAAACCTAGAGTTGCTATAATCAAGGATGCTTTGG